CAAATATTTGCGTAGCTAGCCCCTGCGGACTTATCGTTTCGATGACTACATTTACAAGACAGGGAAATATTACTTGTTTGATTTGAGTGTTCTTCTAATATTATGTAGGTTTTATTACTTATGTTAATTGAATGAGACTTATTTTTATTATAATCGATGCTAATATAATTACTTAAAAGTGTGTTTTAACTCTTAACCGTTTAAGAACGTACTGTATATTCTTGGTGGTTACGCTTAGAACGTGCGGCGTCATCAAAGGAGGAAAATTTAATTTGGATTAATACAAGGAAAATCGAATGTATCCTTTGGGGAAGATAAGACATATATGTACTAGATGGTTTGTTAACTAGACAAGCTCGCATGGCCACCGTGGTCGGAATCGCCAACATCAAGTGAAGGGGCGTAGATACATCAACGTGACACACAGGCAATAATAATTATAAATGCGTTGGCGTCATTGAACCCGTGTTATTGCGAAAGAACGGAAACCAGTCCAGTACCCCCTTGCCCCCTCACCGTTCGCTAAACGTCCCGCGCTATCTGTACCTGTTGCGAATATTTAAAATCCTAGATTAAGTTGACATGGGACGTGACTAGATTTTCTACATCGATAAATGCATTACATCACTAGTACAGTAACAGTCAGCAAACAAACTTTGTTAAATTAAGAATCAGCTTTCGGCTGATATTCTTAAAATTATATAATCTTCAGGAGTTACTTAGAGCTTTTCATATCGTAGTATGTCCTACAATATAAAAAAATACTTTAAAGTAAAAAAGAATGCCCCTAAATTTGATATTATAGTAAGTTATATACATATTACATCTTCTAAAACCACACTGTTTGTTGGTCTACGCTCAAAATAATCCAAAGAATCACGTGTTGTTACATACCATAACATCTCATTACAACATATTATAAAACAATCACGTCGAAGATATAAAAGAGTGACATAAAAGAGTATTACGAGTCATTATTCAATATCCTTGTTAGATAATTACTATTATGCTATCCTTACGTAAGGCGACCTAAAAAGTGACGTGGCCGATAATAGCATAGTCAGGGACAACGTCCTCGCCTCGTTCGCAGGAATTGCAGGTAGGCTATGGGGTTAAAGAACTTCGGTGCACTATATCAAATACCATTGCACTCCTCCGTCCCTCTCTCGCACTGCACTCCGGTGCATCGGACGGTCGCTTCATCGTGCGAATCCTGTGCGATTACGCATCACGCATGCGCATGATCTGATGAATACTCCGATACATTTGCGATTCATAGTGCCCTATACAACTACCGCCAAATGAGACACTAAACACAACTATCCGTACATATGATTTCACTGTATTATAACTTTATTATACAACAATAATAGGTTTTTAGCTTACGTGTTATTTTAAGTATGTTACGCCGATATAATGTGTTACTTACGTATGATTATTTAATGAATATAATCGTGCATTTTCGGTAAAGAAATTAACAAAATAATATTTATTATACCACATATAGTTTTAAACTTCTAAATTTATTTTTCTTGCTTCTGAATCCTTTACAGAATTGACGTTCAGTAATATTTGATCATTTAGTTATTTGGGTAACTAAAGCTACAGATTGGGGACCTAAATAAGTGAAATCATTAAATCTTTACTCCAATCATATTTTCTAAAACGAGTTTTCCTTATGTAACGTGCGACGTGAGCTAGGTAACAGCAGCCATGTGTCAATAATCAAGTTTAACTGGTGGAAAGTTCAAAGAGGGCATCGACATCGACGCAGCCATCGGCGTCGTCTCTTTGCCGCTCACTCGCTACAAAATCGCTTTAATTCGCACAACACTTGATACCACATTCTTGTGTCACGATCGACGATGTCATTATTGCTCGACCAGGAAGCCTCCAGGATTAAGTTTCATAGATGCCGCGATCGCTCACGTTTCTTCAACGCACGCGCAGATAAAAAACACTTATCGCCAGTGCACTTAGAAAGTTATTGATTTACATATAATATCTGATACGTCGACGTTTTCACCGTGATAAACCCAAGGTAATGTGATAATGTGTCAATGAACTTGATAAAGATGAAATTTGGCAGCTCGTGCGTGGCCTCTGTTTTTTAAATATTCCACTTGACAATGGCTGAAAAAGTTCTGCCAGGGTTGCGTATAACCTAACAAAGCTGCGCTAAGAAGGTTATTTTTAATAAACTAGCTTTAATTTATTTTTAATTAACGGTGTATGGAAAAATAATTTACTATATTAGAGTCTGTAGTTGCCGTGGGTAGTACACATTTAAAAAAAAAACACTTTAACGATTTATATTATATTCTTATATTAGTTAAACTGTCTACCCGTTCAAATAAGTGTAAACGGCCTATACGGCGTAAGCCTGCTGCAAAGCATCCGAAACGTCCGGCCGTAGTTAAAATGATTTTCAAATACGTTATCTCGCGTTTTAAACCGTTAAAGTGTTTTATTTAAACATTATATTATCTTTATAATTAGAAGTAGATGCTGGATTATAGTTGTGCAATCGTTATAAAAAACTGAATCAATAATCGCGATCGCGTAGATAATATCGAAGAATTCAGCACAAAATTATGTAGTACATCGGGCGGCCCGCTGACCGCGCGGCGTTGTACCATTTCTCCAAATCGCACGCCCGCCTTTCCTACAGACCTCGGCCTTACCGATGATGCTGCTTCACAACTTGTAACCGGTTATTTAACATTACATTACACTGGGACGCGCCGTGGCTTCGCTTTTTCCTAATTGTAATCTATAGAAGTCGTTGCAGTTTCCTTTTCAAAATGTATTTTTTAAAACTTGAATATTTGCACATGATAGCACTATATAAATTAAAAATCGTATTGAACCAAAGTTTTCCTTGCCGTTGCTTTATTTGTTCCCAATTTTTATAACTATTTATAACTTTGAATTTCTTACACAACAAGCAGATAACATGATAACTTAATTATATTTAAAAAAAAAAGAGACTCAAACTAAATTTATAATTTTAATCTGCTAAATAAAATGAAGAGCTGATGTTTTAAAAAACGCTCGAACCACTACAAGGTTACAAAAATGATATCTATCTTTTGGCAACTCATTTTAAAATATGACCTCACATTTGCAAGCGTTATTGAACTTACGTACTCTGCCTATTTCGTATTCAAGGATATTGTATCGCAAGTTGTAGATTATAATATGGAACGATCACTATATTATAAACGTGGAAAACGTGACATTGTTTTTCGACTTTTCGTTTATGGTTAGTAGGGACATCAAAATTCCACCGGGTCATGATGTACTATACACAGAACTTATAACCGTAATACAAATACGCAACTCCATTTTAGTTTGTGAATTACGTCTGTCCAAAAGAAATGGGCCGACAGCGCATCTAGGTAGATGTTAAGCGTTGGAAAGTTAACCCTTCTACAAGGAAAACCCTGTGTCACTGTAAAAGAACCATATAATTGCATTGTCTGCAGTTTATGCAAGGAGTACACTTTGAAATAAAAAACTTATAACGGTTTAAAACGCGAAATGTATTATTTAACTTATTTTTATTTATTAGGCCGCCTTTTCTCGCTACTTTTGTTTAGGACAGGAGGATTGGATACATCGCAGCGATCGCAATAACAAATATATTTTTTCTCGTTACAAACCGTTAAAATTAAAATACTCATTTAAATGTGATTATTATTTTAAAAACGGAAGTTGAGGAATGCATAAAAGGAAGTTACAACAAAAAATATTTTATACGCAGTAATCATTTTTAATTATAAATTTTACTTCCTATTACTATAATAATAAAAAAAATGGTTTTACCAAACGAAATATGCATAGTTTGTCAAAGTTTATCATGGTGTTTTATTAATATTAAAAAACTAGCAAATTAAACGATATTTAGAGCAATATGCAGCCGTATTCAGCGAGTCATCTAGACACACACAAAGCTACACATAATACATAGTTCATAATACAATTACATAGAAACTCTATGTCGTCACTTGTTTACCGCGTTCTGTGCAGGCCTTGAGATTTAGCTCCGGTCACTGCCCCGAAATCGTGTGCGAATATTATAAAATTATAGGTAGGTGTTACACACACACACACACATTTTTCGCACATACCTACAGAGCTGTTTATTGCGTCTGCCTTCATAATCTTTGATGTATAAATATTTCGTTGTATTTAAATATATGTATGTCAAAGAAGGACAACTAATGAATACATAATTTAAGTGCTATATATGTTATCTTTAAATTATATAATTGCTATAACTGGCATCGCTATACGTATATAGATGCGATTTGTTAGACTACTACACGCAATTTAAATAAAACATTTTTAACGGTTTAAGACGTAAAAAGTTAAATTTATTTATAAATTATCCTCGCCTCGCTGTGACCACGGCTGCTGCAAAATATCCGAAACAACGGACCGTAGTTAAAATAATAAGTATAACCTACACATTTCGCGCTTTAAACCGTTAAAAGTGGTTTTATTAAAATGTGTACTACTCGCGTAAACTACAGACGGTATTTACCAACCTAGTGTCGAGTTTTTTAATTTTTTTAATGCCCAAGGAGGTTGATTCTCGACCTCACCTCGCTTCTTTCTCGATAGCGCCGCGCAAGTGTGGGTTACAGCGTACTTCACTTCTGACATCTGTGTTAGCGATTGGCAATTTTGGTAGCCAATTCAAGGACACCCGCCTTTTCGTTCGACAGTCAGTCACCTTCGGCAGTGAATGACACCATTACGAGCGTTGACCCTCAACATTTCCTGTGCGGGAAAATAAAACTGTGTATACGACCATTAAAACATATAGCGGAGGACTTATTCAATCGAACACACGAAAACCTCTTCTACAACTCACTGTACCTAATTACCTTTATAGATTATAATTAAGAAATCTGTTTGACTGATAGCAGCTTATAGTACTATTAATCTATTTGTTAAGTAACGTGTATTAAATGTTCTCTTTCTTGTTTCAGGTGAGTGTGTCGATGGAAGCAGTAGGCTGGTGAGGTTTTTATTAGGCTGTAGAAGTTATGATTGCAGTAATGCGTTCTCGTTAGAGCACAATGCACCAGGCAGTAGTGGTGGAGTCAGTAACCCCGTCCTAACGGAGCTCGCCCTATACTCGATCCAACTCGCGAACTTCGTCGCCGTCATCGCGTTGCAATTGTCGTGCATTGGCTTACTAATGCTATTCCAACTGTATTCTGAACGCATATACGTACTTGGTACGCGTCTAGCTCAAATTTCCTTATTTCACACATCTATATAAGCTATGAGTACAGTGATATAGGAATTTTATTGTATTCACCCAAGAACCCACGGTCAGAGCTTTTCTATGCCATTGCTTTATAAATTGGGCTACTGTGTCGAATTTCGTCAATCCTTCTATGCGTGCAACTCACGCCTTGCGTCACAGAAGAAAGGGCACAAAAAATACACAAGATATAAATAAAGTTACATTATTCACAGATAAACTTATGACCAATTTATAACATGGATTGGAAGCATTTATAACCAATTTATATCTTCGTTAGCAAGTCCTATTAGTATGAACAGAAAAAGAGTCAAAATTATGCAGTAAATCGTAAATCGATCCCCAATAATTACAAACCAAACTAAATAAAATATTGACTAGTAATGAGGTCCGAGACACCCCACTGAGCTATAGTACAAGCCAAATGGATCTCAAGATGTCGTTGGCTTTTAGTCATTGTTATGGAAGTAATTGTAATATCGTAGGAAATAACAAAATCCACGGTAAATTCTTAGCTTGAGAAAAGTAAAAGAGCCATAAAAGTTATACAATAACGAAATTATAGTATTGTACCCTGTGCAGTACGCACACAATATTAATGATAGCAACAAACTATTTATCAGTTGTGAAAAATCACACCGAAACTTTATTTTTATCAATTTACATTAATTTTGTCAAATCTTGAATACAATATTGTGAAAATATTGCGAGACATCCTGCTGATATTTTATCATTAGAAAGATGGTCCTCCATCGAGATATCGTTTAACGTAAAATACAATAATACATCATCTATCTCGGAATGTCGGTTACGAATTCGCACGACAAAAGGAAGTTAAAAAACTAATCTTTCAAAATTTCATCCCTTTTTTGCGCCGACGTTTTCGATTAAACAATAATTTGGTTTTTTACAATTTCAGTGAAGAGTTGAATATCGCGAAACTCGCACAAAGATACACACATTATCGGTGGAAAAAATGGACTTTACCTGTTCTTGAAATCCGAGAAGAATGAAGGGGTAGGTCGATTCGCGTTGTGATTTTTTATGAACGCGCCGTACCTGCGATTTTTTGTAAAAAGGTTAAAATAGAAATCCATAAAAATCGAAACCGAATGGAAGTAGCTAAGGGTTAACTCCGACGATTTCTTTGCTCCATTGTTGGTTGGGCAGATGGCATGAAATGGGTTCTTGCTCTTTGCTCTCGGGACAATATGTGGGTCATGAGTAATTAAAAAAAAATAGATATATAACTTTTTTTAAAACGCGTTAAGTAATTTATGTTTTATAGCTAGATACCATCATATGTAGACATGATAACCTAGAGTTCCAATGATAAATGCCTTATATTATCACAAATCCACAGACTCAAATCGAAACTCTAATGTAAGTTAAACTATGATAGTATGATTTGTGGCCACATTGGAAGCTCAAAGCATCAAAGTTGGTGGAACAGCCATTGAAGGCACCGTTACACGTACTCGCGGAGTTGATTGCACGCGCTTACGGTCGCCGACACCACACTTATTGTACATGTCTCCGCTTATTCTTACAAATAACACTGCCTTAGCCTTTCTAAAGTTCAACGCTTGCACTGCCGCCTGTTACTAATCACTCGAAACAGAATTAAACTAATCGAGCTGACAGCGAAGACAAATCGGTTCTAAAAAATATTTTCTTTGCAATCCAAAATGGGTCGATAGTGCATCTTAGTGAAATATAGGGCTAGAGAATTTTACCTTAATTGCATCTCATTTTTTTCTGCTTATTAGAACTTATTTTATTGCTTATCAATATAACAATAGTTGCCTACTTTACTTAGCACTATACAACAACACAGTAATAAGTACATAAAAAGTAAACAATAACTTAAATAAAAATAAATTATTACACAATATTGAACTTAAATTAAATTTACATATATATGCGCAATTAATACATTTACAAGACCAATATTGTAAAACCAACATAATCTTATTTTTTGTATTACCTGACTATAAAGGCTATAAGCTTTATGCCAAATGTCAGGAATCACTTTCTTTACTAATACTTTAAATTAACGACTGGAACCGTCCCTCTTCCGGAGTCGTTACAATATATGTTATATCTCTGAAAGGGTTAATTTTGCGCACCTTTTTACACACAGCTGTTTGCAGCATATGTTTTTTGGCACACTCCTAGCACGTGAACATATTCGTGATTTCACTATTGTAATTGGATAACCGCTAAAAAATCAACTACAAAAGCCTTCGAAATTTATATAACCATCTCTACCTTTCCACTTTTTACTAATAATAAGGTGCCGTCTGGTGGCGCGTTTCTCTCTGGTTTCACTGCCAGCTGGCCAACAGGGAAGTGGGTATAATAGCAATTAACAACCAACATTATGTTGCCCACATTTGATAATATGGGTACATCTTCACGATTGTTGCAAAAAAATAATAATTCAGACTTAGAACAAACAATACATTTTCTAAGCGGACTATACTATGTTTTTATTTGGAGATTTACGTTCGACATTTAGATTCGTTACCTCTATAAATTGTAATTTTGTAGAAGTAGGTATATATAGGTTATTTATATATTTTCGATATAAAATTATAAGCAATTAAAATTACTACATTCGTACTTGAATGTACGAATGAAAGTTACTTATAGGCTATATGTAATTCTCTCTACTTTCTCCTTTCTCCGGTGTACGGTAGTCACCTCGAACTTTGGCGGTTGGTAATCTAATTAGTACACTTTTCATAATCGTTATGTTTTCCAGGCACATATTACGTATGTGTAATATTGCTTAACAGTATCATAAAATGAACGATTTAGGTAGGTAACATAATACTCGGGGTTTAACAACTGAGCTATGTATTATCTAGAGGAAGGTAGGTTTTTTAAGAATAGACGATTTAAATAAAGTCAAGGATCATTTGCGTCGCAAACAACTGCGGGGTCAGTAGACTTCGGCGCGCAACCGCCGAAATTATCGCAACATTACACGCGTCGCGCGGCCAACGAACGAGCCAAGGCCATGGTGTACCTAAACCTCCCCTCTGCTCTTCTCCTCTCGCCTCTTCCTCCGAAATTTTCAACTCAACCTCTAATAACCTTACAGGCTTAATCTCAATGTCATCTGCATACGTGGAAAATTTGCAGGACTGCGTTTACATTAGCAATTATCAGCATTACGGATCGTGCATGCATTATGCCAAATAATAACAACAATAAATGCTATCACATTAAATAAATTACTTTCAACGGTTTTAAACGCGAATTATACGAGTTTGAATCGTTTGGAAGTAGCTTACGTCACGGGCCTAAAGTTATATCGCTCTAACAAAAGAACAGTTCTGGATTCCGGGCTTTGGGTAAAGGTCGTAGGGACACGTAATTATTGTACGTACCTAGATCGATATTGGCAATAGAAGCTGGGTGACGCAAGTGGAGCTTTCCAGCGTAGGCGCGAAGAGAGAGCGAGGAAGGTGGCGGGCGCGGAAGCGTCGGCGGGGAACCGAGGGGCGGAAAGCGCGGGCCGGCGGGCGGGGGACGGCAGGTGGTGGCGTCAACGCGCGGCCGTGAACTTTCTTCGGACACGTTTTCAGGAGCAATTGCTGCGCAATATCTGCTTCGACCTTACGGAGCCCCTCTTCTTCGAGTGTCACCTTCGTCTCTATTCGGAAAGTTCTATGATAAGAGCAATCTGTTATTAGCGTCATCGCTTACATCTTACTAGCGAATCGTGTATCGGGAACGACACTCATTAAACATGTATTTAGTTCGAGTTCAAGTGTATGTATTTTCGCCTGTTTTCGCGAATAACATCGACATCGACAGCAGTATGTGTCAAAAAAATCGGAGCACGCCCGTATAATGATGTCAAATTTCAATTTATAATAACACGTTTCGTCAATGCATTGAGATTTCTGGGAAGCGCGAAAAATTGTAAACACGTTCATTAGACGTGTTCGGAGCGGCAAAACATCATTCGATTCGGTACAGATTCGTCTAGCGTCGATTAATAAAAACGGTACAGAAAAGTTGTTGTTGAACAATCACTTGTTATCTACAGTAATGAGGGCGAGTAAATGTAACAGTAGGAAACGAACACACTTCCTCATTCTTGTCCCTGTTGTGTAGTTGTGTGTAATGCAACGTAACGCGCACACACTCTGTGGAATTATACAACTGCACCAACATTCACAGAGCCAGTTGCGCTCTGATTGCTCACTTCACTATCCACCATTTCTCCTGGTTTGGATCAATTATTCGATTCTTTATGGAGTAATCGGTCACGTGTTTGATGATCCCGATTACTATATACCAACATGATAAAAAGCTAATTTATTTAGCAGTGTAATAAGTAACAAAAGCAAGCACTTTATTTTTAAAATTTACCTTTTTTGGGTATTTTTTTGATTTTGACGTTTTATTAGACTATCAAATGTAAACGCTAAAATTATTAAATCAATATTTTTCTCCCCGTGACTGTAACTAATGCAAAGCATCCGAAACGTCGGGCCGTAGTAAAAATAATTTTCAAATAAGCTTAACTAGTATATATTCGCGTAAACTACAGACAGTATTTAATATTCTTCCACCAAAATTCGGCAAGGACATTGTTTTTTAAATACTATCAAATATTGCCACTGTGTCTTCACCTTTACTATCCTCCGGTGGGAACAGGAAGTTTTCATGCAAATAAATATCAAGGTGAGGTGACGCGCTGGTCTAGAGAAGAGGGAAGGAGTGAAAGGAACAGCACCCCATGATCTTGAAGTGTACCTGTCGCTACCATAAATTATTCATAAACCGGTTACTCTTTGCAAACTATGCTATTTCCTGTACAGACATATCCTCAAAATATTCAAGATAAGGTTTTTAATTAAACTCCAAATAGGTGATGAACTTTAAATAGACGAAAAGCTTTCAGAGCCATTTTCGGGGAAGGCAAGGCTAGACTTATAATTCAATATGTAGAAAGTCTTAGCGTAATGGTTTTAACGTATCTACGTTTGTTAATTTATAAATTATAAATCCTATGGGGCAACATTATATAATGATTCAAAAAATAATTTAAAATTAGTTTAGTTTCAACCTATAATTATCTAAATTTCACCTGTAGTAGAAAATTAGGTACAAACAAACAAAGTTATATGAAAATATTATGTCTCCCCGTGACCACGGCTGCTGCAAAGCATCCGGAACGTCGGGTAGAAGTTAAAATAATATTCAAATAAGTTTAACTAGTATAAATCGCGTTTTAACCGTTAAAGTGTTTTATTGAAGCAATGTTATTGTAAATGTATATTGTATCGGCTTTCTGAATAATGTTAAGCCGACAGCTTAACAAAAATAGGCTGTGAACACCTCAATAACTATTTCCTCATCTCGCTTCACCTTGACGCTACTGACATTGCGGTTAAATTTGTCCTATTCGACATTGATTGAATGATATTTGGACAAGGAAGTCACATAATTATGATATTATCGTGTCTTGGCAAACAAATGCATAGCAATTCATTTATAGTTAGCTAAAGTAGCGCAAACTTTGTTGCATAATAATTTTAAAATGCATACAACTATTATTTAACAATTTTTTTTGTTGTTTACGCGAGTTTAAATAAATACATTTAAATAAAACACTTTAACGGTTTAAAACGCGATATACATATTAGTTAAACTTATTTGAAAAATATTCTAACTGCGGCCCGACGTTTCGGATAGTCTGTAACAGTCGTGGTCACGGGGAGAAAGTTTTTTTTTATATATGTCCTAATTTTATTAAATATTCACCCAAAGACTTTACTACTCCAAAAAATAATATATATCATAAAAATAAGACAAAATTTAACTGTTCATATTGATAAATGTATTTTTTTATTTTTTGTTTTACAAACGGTTTTATAAACGTTCGGAAACTTTGTAACCGCCCGGGGCCCCAACGTGAGTCGTTATTCGTTTGTTCTATTTCGCACCCGGTCAGCCGGCCTTGGCCTTGGCTGCCGAATCATGAGGTCGTGGCGAATGAGCGCGTCCGCATCACGCGGCTTGTATGTTCTGCTTATTCACTTAAGGCACATGACACACTGCGATAGATTCTAATATGTTCGCATTATTAGTATCAATGTTTCTCTAGTTGAAAATTGAATATTGCTTTGCTTTGATTGTCTGTAGTTTCCCAAAATATATATGTTCTGAGGTTATATAGCTGGTAGAATCTTGCATTGATTTACCTTAATAATTATTTCCTCTATAATTATAACAAAGGTGTACTCGCGTAGTAACCATAAAAAAACAGTTTAAAACGCGACCATACAATACTGCTATTTTTTAAATATGAATAATGCAGCCGTGGTCACAGAGGGAATATTTTGTGTTTGAAACTGTAGTCCATTTTTAGCGATGCAACATCAAATTTAATAGCTTATAAAGCTTTAAAGAAACGTATAAACTGAAAACAAGAGAATTTACGCGGTTTTTTATTGTTCGCGGAGAATGAACTGCAACATGTAAAGGATAAGATATGCGATGGTTACTGGTGCTGAATTCTGATATCCAACTTACCGGGGTAAGTGACTTACACTGACCTCGCAGTGCATCGGAAAAACTCGCCTTAGCTCGGCGCTCTTCGACATAATATCTGAATTTTTACCGGCTAATTTGAAAAGTCTTTTATATTTCAATTTTTAACAACGTATGATTTGAAATCTTATTTAAAGTCTAGAGATTGGTAAAAATAGTTACTTAATTAAATAACAACATGCATAATTATTACTTTGCAAGTTAACATTTGTACATATTCAATTATAATACAGTAAGTTAAGATTTTAATTTGATCTTCTGATTTAAATCATTAATTTAATCAAAGTTAAACATAAAAAATTTAATTCAAAAATGCTTTGTTGCAACATCTATTCACCCGCGGTGGTATTATTGTAAATAAAACGTCTTATGGGTAAATGACTATGGTATGATGTTTGTTGGGATTCAGGTTTCGAGCGATCAGACACCGGTCTGGCTCAGCAAGGCCTTGACCCAAGCACGCCTCGCAAACGTTCGGCTGCAAACTGTTGACAGGGCTTGTCGTAACTTCTGAGAACTCTTAATTCGATTCACAACATCAAATTACAAGGGTGTAGCATTTTTATCTATATAATATATAAGTAATATACATGCTTCTTTTTGTGGTTCGTAAGTCAAGTATTATTCAGTTAGTAAAGAATCATCATAGTTTTTGATTTGTGTGTAAATTGATAAGGGAAGCAGACATGGAAATGTGTCTCTTTTTTAAAAACTACTAAATGTATTAATCGCGTCTTTAATAACTATGTCTATGTAACCTAAATATTTTTTGTATAGACTTCCCTTGACCGCAACTTTTGAGCAATTAATATACAGTTAACTATATTTAACAGTCGTAAAATGGATGTGCAATAAATTATGCACTGAGACCCGTTCGTCCAGTGGGCTCGGCACGCTTGGCCCATTGTCCTAATGTCCTTGGTTTATAGTCGGGAGAAGGCCGTCTGCCCCAACGATTGTTACTATTGACTTTTCAAAGGGCGACTGGTAACGACCGTTTATAATTTGAACATCATTATTGTTGTTAACATTGTGTACTTTAATAAATCCCCCAAATACACTAGGTATAGAAGTTTTGGGGGCATATCATTATTTATATTTTTTAAATGAGGAAAGCAGACAAACTTGGTTTTCACTTGATGAAAGGTGAAGTACCCTGATGAATATGGAAGGAAGATGGGCTGTCTACTTATTTTTGGATTTAGATGTTTGGAAATCTATAGATCGTAACGGTGCGGACGCAATTTCGATATTCCTACCACTCATTCAATATCCATATTTCCAGACGATGGCCAGCATGTTTCAGAAAAATTAAAAATTAATTTTAAAATGTTGGACCTTACTTTGACGTTTTAGACGTTGCTACCATTACCCCAACGGGCTCGACTTTACTGTACATGTTTTTAAGTAAAGAAGTATTTTTTAAACTTCAAACAAACTTTCGCTTATATTTCTCTTCCTTTAAATCCGGAAGATCTTAAAAGTGCAATTTGGCCGTCGATTACTTAAACAAAAAGTGCGTAAACGAGTGAAACCTTGAACAATCCCCATTATATGGTCACAACTGACAAACGTAGGTGCACATGTGGCTAGTCTCTCTATACAAATAAATATCTCGAATAACAATATGAGTCTTATAACGTTGTAGTAGAGTCCACTTTACCTTAATTCGAAAGCGAAATCTATAATACCTTGTAATTCGATACGGACAACTCTACCCTAAAAACTTAAAAAGTAACCATGCCCACCGCCTGTGCCCGGAAGGAAGTAAAAAAATTGGTTTTACTTAGTTCACGCGGTTTTTTGCACAAACACATCTGGTATTGTTGGAATTTTGCATTATTATCTTATGTTGTTAATACGTGAAGATTTTGTGGCTTCCCTTTTAGAGAGATCATCAGTATTCAAACATAGTAGAAGTCCAGTACAAGATTAAAAGCGTTAGTAATAATTAATAGTTACTTGTGAACTCATGGGTAACGTTGTTTTTATGTATTATTTATATTTCAATTTTACTTTACAAAAAAACATTATCCCTGCTTCCCCATGTAAAAATTACATATCTTTTTGTGTACAGACAAAAACAAATAAGTTTTTGTGAAACGCAGTTGCAGTGAGGATATTAACGAAACCTTAAAAGGGTTTCCTTTAAAAGTAAAAGGAAAGTTGAACGCAAAAAGCACGTTTTAAAGGTTACGCAAATTAACGATCGTCGGGATTATTTTTCTAGTAGGTACCTATGTATCAATTTAACGTGGAAACATGTATGTTATATTATATTGGCTAAAATGATATAGCTAAACTACACAGTTAAAAGGTATATTATTTATTTTAAAATAATAAAACTAGGCGTTATTAAAAACAAAATAAAAAAATATAATAATTCTACTTACCTTGTACCAATGTGCATACGTGACGTATGCACGTTGGTATAAGGTATGTATGTAGGAATAAATAAAATTAGGATTTTGTGACAGTATTTGTAGGATATATCCCAAAATAATAAGTGAAGGTAATATCGGATATTTGTTTATATGATCTGTGATGAATGTGTGCTTTTTGACACCATTCTGTGAATCTAAAAGAAGGCTAGTTGTTGAATTTGAAGACGCCAACAAGTAATGTTTTTGGAGCGTCGCAACGCGCCTGCGCGAAGTGCGAACGGTGGCCTTGACCGGCCTGCGCCAAAAATTACAGGTCATTCACCTCCCCGCCGCCCACCTCCGCTCCTCTTTATCTCGCATAAATAACTTTCCGCTTCACACTGATAACAACTTTATTTACCTCGGAATATGATCTAATTTGAATCACCGCATAATAATATAAGACGTTATATAAAATAATGATTTTAGGAACATAATCGTTCAGACTTGTTTATCAATATGCTCGTTTGATACATGCGTGGTTTAGATTTTATTTGTTGCAATTGTTACATTTCGCCCGTCAATTGTTTATTTCTCTCACAACACGTCAACTTATAGGTTTAAGAACTTTTTATTATACTTTTACAATAAAAAGTTGATTCGTTAAGTTGTAGAGGATTAATATTGCACCTATTACCTAAATGAACCAAAATGTCGTAAAGAGATTTTGCCTGTATGTAAGCGTTGTAAAAATATAAATTAGTTATTTAAATAAAACATTTTTAATATTGTGAAACCCGACGTTTCGTAAATAAGTACTTATGACTAATACATTTCGCATTTTAAACCATTAAGAGTGTTTCATTTAAATGTGCACTACACGAGTACACAACAGACAATTCATTAGTTATTATGAATAGTAGAGAACGTGGATAAATGTAACTTTTTGTATAGTATAAGGCGAAATATTAAATAATAAGGGAGTTTATTAGATTAATTATAAATGTAGAATTCAGGGACACGGAACCCAAAGGTAAGTTAGGAGCGATTAGGCAGCGGGTCAGTCCGTCACGCGGCGACCTACAGCTCGCCATCCATTAGCTCTATTTCGTGTTCAAGTTCAGTCGGCGTTCCATCACCGAAAATATTTTAGTAGTGTGACGCAACCGCCGCTGTGTCCCACTCGAACGTTCCGTGGAGCTCTCGGTTCGCACCGCTCTGGCGCGACCTTGGCCGCGGTGCGCCCGCAAGGTTCAGGTCTTCGAACTCGGTGCGCGGTGAGGCTCGCGGGACGGGCTCCGCGCTCCGCCAATCGCTCGGCGCGCACGTCCGCGCGAGCGCCCCATTGGTCCGCGCTCGCCGCGGCAATGACCTCGGAGACCGGAGTTTGAAGCGCGCCGAGAGACAGGCTTCAGCGTTCGATAGGGGCGAAATTCGCTCGGCGGCGCGCCACCCGCCGGCGAGGCGATCGTATCGCACGGAGCCGCGATCATTTTGCAGACTTTCACTCTTAAGGGGAGACTCGCACGGCTACGATTAGGAGTACGCACGGCGCGAGCTCAGTTCGTCGATCGAGCTCGAGCGAAACGCACGCGGCGCGTTCAGCGGCATTCTCGACGGTCGAGCGACCTTCATCCTCCGCGACGTGCCGGCCGCGCGCCTTTGCACTCCCATCCTATATCCAGTTGTTCAGTGAACGGGACGTTTGTGTCTGCGAGCTATTAGCTCCGATGTGGCTTACGTGCAGTGCAGTGTGTAGGAGGACAATAATCGTTTAGTTCTTAATCATTAATGACTGTTCGTGATGTCTCCGGATAGCAGTTACGGGCGTTACGATACGCCGACGCCAGTCGACAACAACATGATGAGTCCGGTGCTCAAGGAGCGAGAGCCAGAGCTCCATATAGGTATACATGCAGACTAGATCAATATGTTAATCCTTTTTTGGGGGTATTCATATTTTTAATAGGACATTGGCTTTTGGGGCAGCAACAATAATCTTATGTTAAACTTCACTAAACAAGTTTAATAAAATGCATAATAATATTAGATGGTTTCTCTGAGGATCTGAATGTAATATCATTTGTGTATATATTCTAGGTTATATATTTTCTTATTGCAGAACGAAATCCCATAGCGACAAATTAATTAATTATTTGTATTTATTATGACATAATGTCATAATAAATGTCTTGCATTTTTGGCTCATCTTTTTAGATGTCAGAAAAAACATATTTACAGAATTGGGACTGTTAAGTTTGTTGCTTTATAAATCTAAATAATAGAGTTGCACAAAAATCACAGCGTACGAATCAATAAATCTAGTATTATTTTTATAAATGATTAATGATTTCTTTGCTAACTCTAAAAAGGGGTAAAAATTGAACTAATCTTTTATAATTCACCAAAGCAAAACGAATAGTAAATGATGGATGGAATTTGAAATTGCTTGAAAAGGCTTGGCAAAAACAATTAATGCGAACATTGTGCGAATTATGCTTCACAGCGTAATATCGTTAGACCCCATTCGGAATCGACGGGTTCAATATGCCTGTGGGGAGTCATACTTGAAACGCTAATGATCTTGGGATAACAATCGATTTGTCGATTAAAAGTATCGAATACTTAGGAATCGAAAAGACCGTTACGTGTGGGAACATATCCCGATACACCGTGAAGTAACAATTGATGATTTTGTTAAAAAAAATCGTAGGTCTGCGTCATGTTCTACCACTTTTACTTTTACATTCTATAACATGAAAACTAGTTATCGCCGTAGATTTAGAGGTATAATTATTAATATTAGAAATTGTGCAGCATTTATTTACAAATAAACACATCACGAAAATCTGGGCCATCTGAGTCGGCTCAGTTCTGCACGCTCCACTGCCGTTCGTGTTACGTGGTCGCGAGACTTTCTCGTGCACTTTCCTCGCTTCTTTAATAGACGTAACAAGCTGACTCTCACACGAGCCGAGCAGAAAAAACGCTCGCGTTGCATCACACGAGGTGAAATGGCTGCACGCTACTCCTACAATTAGTGCCTTGCAACTGCATTAACTCGTCTTATCGCTTTCGATCGCTCATTGTGATCCCCACGCAGGAGACGACACCTCGCCCGAGACAAACTCGCGTAGAAGCGAACGCGCCTAAAAAAGAAAGTAATATCGTGAAAGCGAACGTGCCGAGCGTCGACCCGCGGCGAGATTCAGAAATAGAAAGTTCCATCCGAAAGAAGCCTGCTCCCTTAACAAATAAACAAACACGGGCGAAGGGAAAAGTGAGAGCGGTAGGGAGACATACAAACGAACCTGTTCCCCGATCGAGGAGCGCCCGCCTCCTCGACCCGAGTCCTCTTCGACATCTGACGTCACACCTGTCGTCGCCGGTTTTTATCTATCACTGACCTACTAACGAAATCGATTCTGTCATTTATTATTACAATGGGCCTACTCTAATTGCGTTCGTTATCATTGTGTTTAACCCCGAAATCGACGATGGCAACTCGGCAATTAATGGATCCATCGATTCTCCAGCACTGATGGGGTCAACGACTGCCTTCAAATGCAGTAGAGACTTTGCGCTTTCTAAAATAACTATTCAGTGTCACCAACGCATGCGACGTGTTACGTCACTAGTTACGAGTCGACTTATGTTTAATAACACGTTATTTATGCAACGCGAACGTTTATTGTGTTATTAGTAACATTTGTGTATTGTTTAAGAAGCGACTTTCTCTGAAAACGTCTAGAGATTGATAGCTCGTTACGTCGTGTTTGGTAATTAAACGTTATTGTTGTTACATTGGAAGCAGTCACCCGATTACCCGTTCTATATAGCTTGATTGATTAAATTAGTTTTAAATATTATACTTTAAAGTTATCGTATTATGTCAATACGTAAAATCAATGTGACTTTGGCGAAGGTGATTTTTTCTTAGTTGAATGATCGCTTACGGTCACCTTTTATTGTTAGTGCGTAGAATTTGAATTGCTGTACTATAAACAAAGAATACGATTCGAGTTGTTTTGTTAAACTGTTGTATTAATATACATGTTTGATTTGTTTCAGAATTTGATGGTACCACGGTGTTATGTCGAGTATGCGGCGATAAAGCCAGCGGCTTCCATTACGGAGTGCATTCTTGTGAAGGCTGTAAGGTAAATATTATCCTGATATTTATTGTTTTTTTATACTTATATTTACATGTGTTATTTCTAGGAACGATCGTCACATGCTCACTAATACCGTAAAACGCCATTTCGTAAATATTTCTAAAAACGCCACCTAGCCTTAGTCACAGCGTTTGTTTAATACCGTCTTTAGATGTTTATTAAGTTTAGGTGCGAGTAGAAAAATAACAAGCCTAAAGAGACATATTTTAATAAACTATGAAAGGAAGCGGTCTCGATGTCCTAGAATGTAAACAAGGCCGAACACGCGGAAGACAATCTCTGTTATACAGACAAAGCCTGACCATGGTATTTTTGATGTAAATCTCATTTAAATTCCGTGTATTCAAAACATTGATGTCACATTTGACCTTCTTTATTTAACTGTGTAAGTCGTTATAGCATCGCTAGTAATAATAATTAAAGGTCCCATACAAAGGAGGTGAGGAGTTTATGGGTCGTTGGGGTACCTGCTGGCCTCGACGGGCCGTTTAGCCCCTTGGACCCTAATTATTGTCGCTCAAAACCTGTGACGGAAGAATCACACGGGAATAGGTGTCATTTAAAAGGTCGAAGTTGATCATTTTGCTTAGATAAAACATCGTTATACATTAAGGATTATTTAAGATATATAAAAATATTTACATTTTGTTAATTTGTTTGTAAATAAAAATCAATTTCATAAATTGATAATAACATACAATAAGAAATAAGAAACAAAATACCTATAGTATTTTTTGTGGGGAAACTAAAAAAAAAAACAAAGCTTGATTAAAGTACATTACGCGTCGTCGTCGCTAGTGACGTCAGCGCCAGCTGTGCGCTAATAGGAAAAACTGAAGTCTTGCTACTCGCCGCGAGAGGGCGTTGTTCGTAGCAACACCGTTTCACATTTTGAATGAATGATATCTGCCACACGTGGCGCTTGCGTTCACACTCACTACGCCTATGTCAACGAACTCGAGTTTGTTGACTTGGGTTATTCAATATTTATCGTATTAAACCATATTTTCAGTTTTTATATAGTCCCAATAACATTGGAATCAATATATAAGTTATAATACAGTACAATAAAAGTACATGCATTAGTCTCAACTAAATTATTTTTCACTTGAACGGTTCCAATTTATATCGATTATATTTTCATTATTATAATATTAATAGCCATGTTGACTTAAATGCACCAATGTACTTTTTTAAACAAATCTAATATCTTTATAATAATTTTAATATAGCAGTTATTCTGCTATTTATAAAAGTATAACTCATATTTGTTAATAGCTAATATAAAACAGTTTTACAAAACACTCTATACTTTACTGTTAGGTGTGACACTTTCATTTATTTTTCTTTAACTAATATTATTATTATAATAATAAAAAATCTTCAATTATATTTTGAAAAGCAGGTTTCTTTGTTCACACATATAAAACCGCCCGTTGTGGGTCGGTTAATATTTCGGCACCGATTCTTGGCGCAGGCCACGAGGTCGTCGACCTCCCTAGCTCCAGCAACAGCCTCCTTGCCGTAATAACTTTTACGGTCAACGAATGTATGTACGCAACATGATCGTAACCTACATTATTTTTGAACTGTGAGATTTAAAGTTCGTTGATCTCTTGTTTATTTATTGGGAGCAGCTGAAACGCCGTAAACATATTCAACATAAAGGTGTGCATTGTTTATTACTAAAATTACTTATCAGCAAAGTATCGGCGTAAATTGTTGATTATTTGTTTCTCTAGTAAACTGCGTTTGCAAGCATATAATGTGTCGACACATAAAAATTGCCATAAACCGAGTGGCTCAATAGTTCATCGCAAATTAGCATTGCATTTAATGCGGAAGCTCCTAGGTTTGAATCCCGGATAAATATATTAGATTAGTATAACACAAAAAGACGAGACAAGTTTGACGAGACGAGATAGTTTATTTATACGAATTGTGTTACATACAAGATTATTTAACCGTCGTATTCGTAACTCGTTCATAGTATCAACGTATGATACATTTTCCTAATATTTTGCGATATGCGAACGGGAAGTGAATCACAATTTAGGTGTGAGTCAGCCACTCAAGTAAATGTTATCAAGTAAACATCTGTGGACCGGCACGTAGTGGACTGTTAGTCGTAGCGAGGTCGGTCATTGGTCGCTTCCGCGCAAACCCAGATGCGTCAGCATGTTTTTGACGGCGTTAAGTCATTGTCCCCCGTACCGTTAATCGACGTATTAGTGTAATCTGGTGCGGCGCTAATAAATTTAAAACATATTAAATAAACAATAGTGTTGCTCTGTAAGGAAAGAAACTATTAAAAGTTTACAATTTAAAATCATTCATTCCTTTTTAACTTATAAGCAAATGGTGTTAATGATTTGCATATATGCTAAAATTACATCTGTCAGCTTCACAATTAAACAACAAAAGTATGATGTTTCTTTACATAGATATCTAATAAATATAAAACATATATATCTTAACGAATTTTCTAATTATACTTAGCTGTTACAATTTATTCTTAAAATTACCACCAATAAGGTTTTTACTACTGAACGCTCGCGAAACCATTCATTTAGCTAAATTACACAAATAAATATTAATCAAGTGTCGTCGATGAGGTAAATTTCAGTTTAAAATAATAAAATATAGAAAGGACATAGCATATTTCAATCACGGACGCAACAACGTTAATAAAGTACATAAGTATGTCAATGTAACGTTAATGACAAAAAATTGTTGGTCCGCTTATCGCTTACGACTAAGCAACGGGGTTATGTCGAAAATTCTAGAAGGTGAATTGGTAACCTACTTTGCACTGTCGAAACCCTCAGCTGCGGTGGCTTTTATGCCGTTCTCGGAAATTCTTTTCAATCATTTTAACTTTTATAAGATGCTTTTTGTCTTATTACGAAGAAATATAATTTAAACATTTTTATTCATATTACTTAGTTGATATAAATTAAAGATCTATTTTAGATTGTCAAAAATCAATAATTCGGTTGGAACTCGAAGCTAAGACAGCCTTTCGTTCCGTTGACGTACCAACTGATCTTAGATATACTCCTGTCCAAGTCATAGATTTTTGACAATTATAAATAAACAATCTTTGCTTCATATAGACAGTGAATTAAAAATTAGTATATATACAATATTATAACAGTAGGATTAATGATATGTCGACCTTCTACAATATAATTACGATAATAGCACGAGTAAACAAAGATTATTTGAAATACATATTACCTGAGCACCATAAAAAGTTATTGGGAGCGGTCAATAACACTTAATAACCCTTCCATGACCCACATATTGTATGATTGTTTACGAATATTATGTCTAATTAATATTTGTTAATTGATTGCCTAAGCGTATTCGTAACTTGCTGGCGTGAGCTGATCGTCGTAGGTGAAACATAAGCATTTATTACACCTTCATGTGGGCCAGAAGGTTTGTTTTCGCAGTAGAGGTTCGTCGACCTCGCTGGGTCGGTCACTGCCCGCGCTGCGACCAATTATGGGCCACTCGCACAATGGATCGATGGCTACACGAAATTGGGCCAGAGACTGTCCCCCCGCGACCCCGCGCTCTTTTATGGCTTCGTTCGTATTCTTTTATATACGTTTTCCTTAATTTTCGATACATTTTGTCAACATAAACTTCAAATACTTAACAAATTATTTTCTAACTTTACATTTGAATCTTACAACAATTACAACTAAGAGTTCGATTCGATTAATCCGTAAATGATGTAATAATGAAACGTAAATTTTACGCGCCGCACTATTTACGATATATTTACGCTATTGAGTGGAGGATTTAAAAGTTAGTTAATGCACCCCTAGTAGTAGCGCGCGCGCATTGAGGTAGGCCGTGACGCATAGCCGACGTCACCGGGTTCGAATCGGTCGTCGCCCCGAGTCGTCCGCGCCCTAGCTCCCGGGCTCGGGGCAGCTCTCCGCGTGAGGGGACGCGGGGTAGGGCCGTTGTGCAATCGCGCGGTCGTCGACCCGGGGTGAACGGCCTCGAGCCACGATGCCCGCCGGGATGCGCCCGGCCTATATCCGGCGCACCGGTGCAGCGGCGGCGGCGCATTCTAGAGCGACGAGGACCGTTAGCAGCGCGCGGCGGGGGGCGCGGGGGGCGGGCACTCTCACTTTCTCGGTTAGGTCGGCGGCCGGCAACTAGGTCGCGGGTAACTGCGCCGCTCCGCCGCCGCAGCGCCCGCACAGTCCGTCGTCGGCCACCATCCGCGTCGGTGCATTCTAGCGAACGTCGTGTGGCTCGGGCGGTGCAGTGGCAGTGAATTGTGAACGGTGTCTGGCATGGCGTGCGGCACTGAGTTGCGTGAACGACACTCGGTATTAGTGAGCATGTTGGAAGCGCGCCGCGAGTCCACGGACTCGGGCTGCTCCAGTGACGAGAGTTCCGACCCCGGGCGAGACTCTAATTGTCGCTGTGATCCGCAGGGGTTTTTCCGGCGCTCCATACAACAGAAGATCCAGTACAGGCCGTGCACAAAAAACCAACAGTGTTCTATATTAAGGATAAATAGGAATCGGTGTCAGTATTGCCGGTTGAAAAAATGCATCGCCGTTGGAATGAGCAGAGATGGTGAGTTTCGTTTTCCTTATAACTTGTTTGGAAACGTGCATTTTTATTTATATTTATGCATATCTTTGTATATTTTTTTAAAATGAGAATGCATGTTTCATTTAATAATACATATTTCATGTTTTCTTTGTTATAATAAGTCATGTGATGAGCAAAAAATATTTAGTAAGATTATATAAAAAATTTACGAGCTATCCACTATAGTATAGCGGCTGCTTTTTGAGATGTAGACAAATTGAATATTTTGCGCTCATCGTAATTAGTACGCAACGAGCATTGGAGGTCGGCTTTTGCAATCTCGCGCATATAATAGTTATTCTGTCATACGCGCCAAGTGGGGCACGCGAATTGGTAGCGCCTAGCGGTGATCGCGCGTTGCCTCACGATCAGATCCTATTTCGAAGTGCGGTCCGGGGCGAGGGGCGGGGGGCCCAGAGGACGCATGCAGTGTGGGAGGTCGCTTATGCAAGCGCGGGTGAGCGCACGCTAAGCGGGTCGACGCCCGTGGTTGCTCAGCAGTTCGGTCTCAGCGTGTTGCAACATTCGCTCCGCTCGTACGTAGGCTCCCCTCTTTGCGCGGTGAAAGCAGAGAAAGGTGTTTCGTAAGCGCGAGAGTGAAATTCGTTTTCACTTTCGAAGCGCGGTTCGTCGCCCCTAAAGTTTTCTAATGCCAATGGGCGCAATAGGTCCACGAAAACAACTCAACTTGGTAAATTCTGTGTTTAATGTGTACAATTTTCTTTGACTTCTCGCATTTGTCAGGTATTCAAAACAGAAATACTATGGACAAACAATTAATACAAAAACTATTTACACCCTTACATATTTTACCGTTTTATAAATAAACAACGAAAATTTACTCCCGTAAGGACATCGTTTACGTTTTCTAGAGAACAATAAATTTTCACTGTAGTTCAGCTACTCGATCATAGATGGCGGTAAACCCTACAGCGCTTGGCGTAGCCGCTACGAAGTCTACGCACGGGCTACGAATTGAATGTGTATGATTATGTTACTACAACGATATCATTTTCATTTAAATATTTTTTATATAATCAGTTATATGGATTAGGAATAAATTAGTTTATCGGAATAAAATCGTTAATATTATTATATTGCAGTATTTAATTCGTTTCTGAATTATATTATATTTGTTTCTGGAAGTATATACTTATAATAGTCAATTCTAAAAAACCGACAACCTAACATCAACTCGATTTCTAAAATAATACGATACAATTGAAGGTAATTAAAATTATAAAACACTTAAGGAACAATTAAGAATTCGGCTGTTAAATCGCGAGAAGTAGAACGGCTCGGTGCAGGGGTAGGGGCGCGGGGGGGCCGAGGATGGGAGCAGGGGCCTGCGCGGAGTTTATTGACGGCGCCCCCCTCTCACTCCGTCCGCCCTCCCTCCTCAAGTTCAAGGTTGGCACGGCGCGCGCCGCCGCGCAGTGCGAGGGAGTCCGGCCCGCGCATCGGTCGCTAGCCCTCATTACTACCGCTATGTTAGTGCGTCGCCACGCAGTTGGCTACGAGAACTCGACGCTCACTCACCGTGCTACATCGAACGTCGCAACTCGCTAACTCAATCGCGCCGTGCAACATTGGATTATCGCTGCATATAAGGATTATTTAGTGAACAGCAACTGTTGTCGTGTGATATGTGACACTTCTATTAGCTTCAATATAACGTAGTTACCAGTTTTAGTTATCGTCGCCTACTGGCTGTGAATTAATTAGTGTTAGTGAATTAAGTTATGGTTTCGGACATGGGTGAAGATTTACCAATTCTAAAGGGCATCCTGAATGGAGTCGTCAAATATCATAATGCTCGTATGTATTATTAGTTCTTTTTAATGCTCAAAGTAACTTTATTTATTTACAATTGTAAAGCGGCAAAACATTTTTTTATTTGGCATTCAAATTTTATAATTTAAATAAATTCTATAAGTTTTGTAGTGTTGGAAACAAATGCGTTTTATATTCTAATAATATCGTGTTTCATATAAACACATATATGTTATATTACAATAACAACTATTAAAATAGTAAAGTTCAGTGATATTAATCGGTTAGCGCCAATTAACAATAAAACAATAAGTCTATCGATCTAAATAAATTTCAATTACTTTTTATCTCACATACGTGTACGAATTACGATTGTACTTTCAATACCAAACGCTACAACTGCGTCACAATAGACATTGCATCTGTCGTGGCCTACATCGCGCAGGGAAAGTCGGGAGAAATGGCGAGAGGGCGCTCTCCGCTTTCGTTTTCAATCATGTGCTGAACGCGCAAACACTTTCACCAGCGCCAGCGCACGAACGCCATAAGCGGCGCGCTCGTCTCCGACGCATACTACCTTTCGGTACGCGACACGCCCGCGGCGAGAAAGTTGTAACACTTTTTAATATGACCTCGCGGATCGCGCTCCGACACTCGCTATTCAAACTATTTCATTCAATCCGGTAATTATATTCGAGCGAGTCCTGCACTTTTGCAAAGCGCCAGACGTAGGGGTCGCTCGACCTTTGCGACGGGCGATGAACTCTACCCTCTCGTCAGCTGCGCGTACACATGGCTCGCTATAGCCTGTGTTTGCGCGCATTTAGCGACAGCTGCCCTCCGATGTACGGATCGCGACCTTGCACAACAATTTCGTTGTTATTTAAATTTAGCTGCCGATTTGTTTTAAGAATGTCGTATTAATAATGGTTTTCTTTTGTTGCAGCCGTTCGATTTGGACGTGTTCCGAAACGGGAAAAGGCACGTATTTTAGCTGCAATGCAGCAATCCTCATCATCGCGAGCTCAAGAGCAAGCGGCCGCGGCGGAGTTAGATGACGCACCTAGATTACTAGCAAGAGTGGTTCGCGCACATCTAGACACTTGCGAATTCACGCGCGACCGCGTGGCCACCATGCGCGCCAGAGCTCGCGACTGCCCCACCTACTCGCAGCCTACTTTGGTAAGCATCTCTCAATTATAATGAAGTCAATTAAAACTAAAAGACTGTTTTACATCTCTTAAAATTTAATCATATTTAGCAATACTAACCTGTTGTTTCCTTTGTTGCAGGCTTGCCCCCTTAACCCTGCGCCAGAGTTGCAGTCCGAGAAGGAATTCTCTCAGCGATTTGCGCACGTAATCCGTGGCGTGATCGACTTCGCCGGGCTCATCCCCGGGTTCCAGTTACTCACTCAAGATGACAAGTTCACGTTGTTAAAAAGTGGTCTTTTCGACGCTCTATTTGTGCGGCTAATCTGTATGTTTGACGCTCCACTCAATAGCATAATTTGCTTAAATGGACAATTAATGAAAAGAGACTCGATTCAGAGCGGTGCTAACGCGCGTTTCCTTGTGGACTCTACATTCAAATTCGCGGAACGTATGAACTCTATGAACCTGACCGATGCCGAAATCGGCCTGTTCTGCGCTATAGTTTTAATCACCCCTGACCGGCCGGGACTCCGCAATATTGAACTCGTCGAGCGAATGCACGCACGGCTAAAGGCCTGCCTCCAGACTGTGGTCACGCAAAACAGACCAGACAGGCCCGGATTCTTACGGGAGCTCATGGACACACTCCCCGATCTCCGTACTCTGAGTACGCTTCACACAGAAAAACTTGTCGTATTTAGAACAGAACACAAAGAACTCTTACGACAGCAAATGTGGGGAGAAGAAGAAGGATGCTCGTGGGCCGACTCCGTCGCAGATGAATCTGCGAGAAGCCCAATCGGCTCCGTCTCCAGCAGTGAATCAGGTGAGGCTATTGGCGATTGTGGCACTCCATTGCTAGCCGCAACTTTAGCGGGTAGAAGACGGCTCGACTCTCGTGGCTCTGTCGATGAAGAAGCTCTCGGTGTCGCTCACTTGGCACACAACGGTCTCACAGTGACGCCGGTGCGGCCGCAGCCTCGCTACAGAAAGTTGGATTCGCCAACAGACTCCGGCATCGAGTCCGGTAATGAGAAACATGAAAGGATTATCGGTCCAGGGTCTGGATGCTCCAGCCCTAGATCATCGCTCGAAGAGCATTTAGAAGAGAGGCGACCACCTATGCCAAATGACACACGTCTCGATGATATGCCCGTACTGAAGCGCGTATTGGAGGCTCCCCCTCTATACGATACTCCTTCATTGATGAACGAGGCTTACAAGCCCCACAAAAAATTCAGAGCCATGCGCCGTGATACCGGCGAGGCTGAGGCCAGGGCTGTGCCGCTCACCCCATCGCCGAAGCCACCGCACCATCCGCACCCGGCGAGCCCCGCACACCCTGCGCACTCTCCTAGGCCCGTGCGGGTATCTCTGTCTTCGACACATTCTGTGTTGGCGAAGAGCCTGATGGAGGGGCCACGCATGACCCCCGAGCAATTGAAGCGCACTGACATAATCCAGCAGTACATGCGACGTGGCGAAGTAGCCGCTTCAGAAGGCTGCCCCATGCGCAACGGCGGCCTTATGGCGTGCTTCCGCGGAGCATCCCCCGCCCCCGAGCCCGTGCTGGAGCTGCAAGTGGACGTGGCCGACGCGCCGCTAAACCTCTCGAAGAAGTCCCCCTCTCCGGCGCGCTCGTACATGCCGCGCATGCTGGAAGCGTGAGAGCGGCCCGCGGAGCCGCCAGTCTCCGCTACCCCACCCCGACCTACTTTGAATTAAATAAACTTTGTAGTTAATAATCGTTCGCAAATCGGTTAATATATTATATGTGATAATTCGTTTAAGGCGCGTGGTTGCGTGGCCGGCGCAGGACGAGGAGAGCGCAATAGACTGAATAATAATTTAAGACTAAATAAGTTTAATTTATAATGCATTGCAGCGCCGGTCGCAGTGTGTTTGTGAATTGTGTGTATCGTATGTGCGTATGTGAGCGTGCTCAGTCATTTGTTTGTTAATTATAATGACAGGTTGTCGAATTAAAATAAAACAAACTTGTAAAATTTACCATACTCTTTTTTTTACCCCTCTTCTCTAAAATTAGGTATTCTACTCACACTAGTCCTATTATATGATTGAAACTTAGTAGCAGTCAGGAAATATATCATTATTATTATCAAAAAAAATATAATAGTAAGAAGAGAATTTTACAAATACACAGAAATAAAACAAAACTTTATTTTACTGTTTCACTATAGAAAATGCATTACTACTTACTTGCATAGTACATTTGAAGTCACAAGAACTTATTACAAGCGATATATAAGAACTAATAAAGTAAAGGTTTGAGCTGTCAAAAAGACAGATTATAAAAGTAATATAGTATATAAGTTATGTCAAAGACAAAGAAGGCTAGCATGATATAAATATTTTTTATTAGTTGATTAACTAGGATGTTCATAATATGTACGAGGAAAACAATTTTGATGAACGCACAATCAGCGAACGCGGTCGATGGCCGACCTAGAAGAGTAGCACTTCCGTCCATCTATCTTCAAGTCTGCGATGACCTACGCTCTGTTCCTTCTTCCGCAGCCACTCTCAGGGCTGTTGCGTTTCCTTGTTTCAGTTGGGATCGAAATAACATCTTAATAACAGAGTTATTTAGGTTTTAGCGAGTATACGTACAAATTATTAACAATATGCTACAAGAATACCACAAAATTCATATTATTTATACTGAAAATTAATTTAGACCAATAGCAGCTATTTGTAAAGGAACAAGTGAAGAAAGCCAAGTTTAAATGCGTTCAATTTAAATGAATCATGTCTGGTAAAGAGATCGATCGTCAGCTCGGGATTGACCTCATCCCAAGGCCTGAGCAGCCATTGTTCTGCTGTTAACATCTGCCGGTCTGTCTGGCCTTCGTTTTAAGGAATAATAATCGAGCGACAATATTATGAACATGAAAAGAAATGGTTCAGACTTCAAGCAAAGGCTTATAATCTACGAGTTTTTGAAATCTGCTTTATATTTTTTGTGTACACACTTGCAAATATGTGTATATATATATATATATAATAACATATATATCGTTTGTATGTATTGCAATAGATGATGAAACGTAAGTACATACACTGTGGAGTAAATACATGTAAACTTTCTTACCCATAGGTGTGATATATCAGAAAATTATTTAGATGCAAAACGTCTAAATAAAAAGCTATTGAACATTTAGTTTGAATAAAAAATACTAATATCTTGTATATTCTTATATAAGCATTCTAATAAAAATATCAATCAATATTTTGTTTACTTTGGCAGAAGGTGCATGCGAGGTTTGAATTGTGGTTATACTGAAAGGTTATAAAATAAATAAAAAAATATTATATATAATTTACGACAAGCTGCCGGTATCGTATTTTTTTTTAAATTTTTAGTCGATTTTTAATTTATGTACTGCCATCATGTGCAATAACATGTGAAAAGTGGAAAAGTTTTCAAAATGATAGAATTGCTAACCTAACAGGGGTTGATTGAATACAAGGATTGCAAGCGGGTATTGACCGATAGTTCAGCGCATGTCGACAGGAGTGGCGCAGCGGCCATGCACTTGACTCCTCAGCGTGGGTGCATCGCCCGCCCGGAACCCCTTCTAGCCTGGCCCACTCCACCTCCAGCACGAAGAACCCTCGCCCACATCCTGCGGAAAGGTCATCTCGTTCCTCTGAAATTCTGTTATACAAGATTTTTCATTACACAATTATCTTGTATTTCATTAATTTATATCTTACGAAATCTATGTTATTTTGAATTGCTTGAATATAGCTTGATTATTTTTTTAAACTATTTTTTTATAAATTATAAAACAAGGGACGAAGCGTTCAAGCGATTTGGGTAAACTAACCATGTATAATATTTGCAATCAAATCTATCGTTACATATTTCTTAAACTATGTGTCTACATACATTGCGATTGTTTCGAGCCGTATATTTGAGATAATGTATTTTTCCAAGACTAATAAAAGTACGTGCTCAAAGAAGGTTAGTTCGCAAACATTGCTAACGTAAATTCTCCTTCTCTTCCTATTAGTAAAACCTACTTAATAATTTTAATTAATAATATAGTAGATATCCTGTTTCTGTACAAACCGCCGGGGTTCGACCTCGAGTTACAAGGTCGAGAGCATTTGGTGTTTTCCGTGTCGCCTGAAGGTCTCAGACTATTTACAGCAGTTATTTACTTAGAGTTTATATATTATATTTTTTGGTTTATCGCTCTTCCTGATTTTTGTTTGATGAAGAAGTCAAAATAAGAAGTACGTTAGTAGTCTGTATATATACGTTATTGAAACACACTTTTAATATTATATTATTTTTAATTGTAATAATATGTTTGAAATTAAAAGTTTAAATATATATATATATATATTTCTAGATAAGTGTCTATTTCCTCTCGTACGTAATGCCTTCCAAGTTGGATATTATTAAATTTTGCATAAAGAGGTAGGCGGAAAATAAGACTGTGAGGGTGGGCGTGGGCGTAGTGGGTGATGGGGTGGTATCATAGGGTATAAGCGGGGTGAGGCGAGCGGGGAGCGTGGTCGGGCTCAAGGTCGCAGAGTCACAGCCGGGCAAGGTCGCTGTGCCCGCGCGTGCCCGCTACTGCCCGCCCGCGCCCCTCGCCCCTATCACACCCTATATTTGCGTGGGACGCGACCTTTATCCACGCTCCAGAGAAGTAATTGTATACACATACATAAATATCTAATGTTTTTGACTTACGCAATAGTCGGAACAAGGTTATTCGGGAATGTGTGCGAAACGCCTCGCCTAAATGTTTTATGAACGCGCACTCGACGTCAAAAGTTTAGGAATTTGAGACTTATTTAAATATGGTGAAATACATAGTCACGTTGTTTGTACGCAGGTGGGTTAATCTATCTTATATTGTAAGTTGGTCTTATTTTATATTAAAAAAAAAAACATAGTTTAATCACTTAAATTTAATAAATAATAATAATAAAAAACACTTTATAAAGTTTCTCGTGTTAAAATACAATGTTTGATAAGCGTTAATTGATGTACAATTATAAAATATTTTCAGGAAAACCACATTGGTTACCTAACTTGGTACCCGGATTGACGTCATTACCTTTTGACCTTCAGAGTTTCCGACCCCAGCATAATTCCGTACCCGACGTAGGTATATCGGATATATATAACATACAATATAGAGTATAAAAACATAACATACAGCATTTTTATATTCTTTTTGCCCTTAAACTACCATAGTGGCCAAGTAAGTATTGACAGATGACTTTCGTTATTAAATATTTGTTTCTAGAACATTTTATAGCCACTTCTTGTAACTTTTCTTTACCGGAGGACACGCGTCAGGATCTACGCAAAGGAATATAATCAAACACCGACCTCAGGAAGTCCAAGTCGCTCTTTTTGTAATAATATAACTAACACCTGGTGTTCTATAAAAGCGTGTTATTAAAAAACGCCATCTGTTTCTGACATCCGTTCCGTTTAATGCAATTTATGCAATCCTACATTTTATCAGGCATTACAAAACCGAAGGTCACTCACACTTATCTGGTAGTCCTAGCAAATTGTATCTTAGCGTAAATATAACCAGTCTTAAAGATATGACACAATAAATTTTTCCTTGTTCCTCGCAATGTGCAACAATAGGTTTATACGCTTATCTGTTACGTAAAGTAGTTATCAGGGCGAACCGTTGGCGGACAGTGTGTCCTCGACCTTAGTCTCAGCAGGGTTACGCGTGTCAGGTTACATAAGGGTATTTTATCTATAACGAAACTTATCTATTCAATACACGAAATAATTCAATTCAATAAATGTAAAAATATTGCATCATTTCGCAATACATTCGGCGATGTTTCCCAAACAACATTAGGCACATATCTAGCTTTTTATGCCTCACTCAGTATCATGCTCCATAAATTATCCTTACCCTCCCTGGCCTTGGTGATAGGCATTTCGGTTGAGAATTTAGGTTACGAGCGATCGAGGACAAACAGAGTTATAACGAACAATGGTTCGACCTAAAAACGTCGTCCTAATTTATTCGGGAAAAAATAAAGACCAAAGTTTGTTGATAAGACTAACATGGCGGTGTTACTTCTCAAAAATTCTATAATGATTGATACTTAAGAGAGTGCGTTACAGCCACAATTGCCTATGTTTTGATGTCTTTTTGTTTTAGATCTCTATCAAACAGTCTTATTAATTTAACAACTTAATTTTAAGCTAATGTTGTAAAGAAAAAAAAGTTTTAAAAGTCATAACACTATAGAGTAATGTGCATTTGGAACCACGCTTCATACTGCGTAGCAGATTCTACGCCGTAGACAATCTCAAGTGAAAAAATGGTGTTATAACGTGTGATTCGAGTATTGCAATAAGTGGAATATTTATATAAGGGCCACAAATAAGACTTGCAAATAGATGAAATCGCAAAGTAGAAGTCGCGGGAATTGTTCGATGGCTGCATAAGTAATACAGTGTCCTGGGGTTGAGAAGCTGGGGTGAACGTGGGAGGAAGGTCATAAGAAGGTCGCGGGGTCGCTTTGCCACCGAAACTCAATATCTGCGCATGTACCTAATGTCCACTTCTCAATATTGGCAGGGGCTAATAATTGTCTTCTTATACTCAAAGTAAATTTAACACAACAATTCAAAGAGATTTCGGTAAGAAACAGCATATACCATCTGTAGTTTACGGGAGTAGTATATATTTAAATAAAACACTTTTACTGTTAAAAACGCGATATATACTAGTAACTCCGGCCCGACACTTCAGATGCTTTGCAGCAGCCGATTAGAAATAATTAATAATTCTTAAATAAGTTTAACCAATATATATCGCGTTTTAAGCCGTTAAACTGTATTATTTAAACGGTATATATAAAAAAAAAAGATAATTATAATATTAGTGAACGACGACGATCGCACTTGTAGTATTGACATCCAATGTTTTGCTTATTGAAACACATGTAAATATAAAAACGAAATATATGTAAACAAGATAGAACAAATCGTAATTATTTCTTATCTTAATTCTGTTGGAAATATGAGATGCGAAATATATTTTTTAACGCAGCTAAATGTTTAATTACCTGTAAAATGCAATCTATTGACCGTAAAATGGAGTGATATACTTTATGGTCGACTGGTTTTATCGGCCGCGAGACATGGAACTGATGAGCTGCGTCCTTCTGGCCACATTAGCCATGATGTAGGTCACTAATGTCTTTCGCCCTTGACCCCGGGAAATGTGCGCCCTTCACAACCCGATGTTCTCATTGCGGCAGCTGCCAAGAAAGTGACAATTGACAAGGGCGCCAACAATTTAGAACACGAAACCATTTCTGTTAACATAATTTTTGTATAGATCTAATCGGAACATTGTTTTCTTCTATATAATTAGAAACACATTTCTTATCACGATAGAGTGACTCAGTTGTAAAGTTCCCTTATTTTAATGATGGTGTGAATGCCTAATGCACGCCCATGTCGAGCAAAAGTGACATGGAGGGTGTGGTAAATCGTACTACAACTTCTTCGGAGACAATACGCTTCAGTGCTTTGAGGGAACCATGGGAACATAATATTATTATGTTGTAAAACGCTTAGCATTAGGTTAAGCAGAGAATAATTTTGATTCTAATGTATGTTATTTAAGTATGACGTCTAACGGTTTAAAAGGCGAAATTTATTAGATAACTTTACCACGGCTGCAAAGCATCCAAGTTAAATACTACTCATGTATGTTATTTAAATATTATACTACACAAAGAAAACATAATAATACATATACACATACTAAACACATAATAAACATACACAAATATTTAAGAAAACAAAAATATTTTTTTTTCAGAGATATAAAGATTCAGTATGCAGAGAAAAGGTACTGAAAACATTACGATTAGCTGCGGGAAAGTTAATTAAATTTATAATATCGAAACACATTTCCGGCGTAGAAGTCCACATGATGAGAAGTACGTACAATTGTATTTACCCCATGGATTCCACAAATACGCTATAGAGCGAATATTTATTCGCGAACGTTCTGTAAATAGTGACATGACATTACCGTGACCTTGTGTGCGATTACGTAGATCGAATTACTCGGTCGATACAAAGAAAATCGCGCTTTCGTGACTTATTCCGGGAAACTCTGATAGAGGCGAATAACGGGTTGACTGCGATTATACATCGCGATACGCACACTAATGCACGCACTTGGAAATTGCGAATGTGGCTAGTGTGCGTGTGTGTGACATTGAACTTCACTCTTCACGCGGCAACCGCGGCGCGGGCGCATGTGTTGCGTAACAAATTCACATTACCCCCGTAGCGTGCATGAGACAGTATTATCGCGGACCTGTCATGAGGTTTAATTTGACTGATCTTAAAATTCTGTCCAACTACCAATTATAACAAGATTTATAAGACTTTAAATTCAAATGTTATGTTTGAAAAATATTTTTTTATAACGTGGACTGGCCGATTCAAACTCCTATCGAGATTCCTAAATAAACCTAAATATGTTATTTATTAGTATCATAGATAATAAAAAGATAACATGTCCACAGATCTCCCATTAAAAGCAACTTGAATTTATGTATATCACTAAGAACTGTGAAGTATTTATTGTCTCGATAACAATTTAAAAACTAGAGAAGCTTCATATAATTTTATAAATCGTTTCCGCAAAAAACATCTCAAATATTCCGCATGGATAAATAAAACACGTTCACCAGGCGGTCTTTGGCCAGTTAGCGCAGTCCTTGAATGTCAACTAATTCGCAACAGTCGCTTCCGCGAGCGACGTTCCGAGGTCACCCTGTATAATAACGATATTTATTGACGTCTTGCGACCGCGAACTTGTCTACTTATGTATATCATTTGTTTCCGTGAACGACTCTATAATCCAATCGTTTCCTCATGTCTCTCGATAGTGCCAGGTTGGCGCAAGGTTAATCATCACTTATTTATAAAAGTGAACAAATTTCGTTCTCTATGTAATCTCTGAAGCATTACAGATACATGAAGTGGAGAACTATTTGGTTATGTGAAAGTTTCTCATTTTTTTTAAGTTGAGGAAGACAGAACAGTATGAGGTCAACCTGATGGGAGGTGAAATTAATTAGCAAGATGCGCTCCCATTTTCGCTTTGGAATTCCCTTGTTCTTCAAATTAAACTTGCTTTTAATGTTTACGAACTAATGTGTAATCCAAGGTGTTTACGTGAAAATTGCTTGGTTGATAAAAATATTTTTTTTAACTAGATTATTTATATATGTATAATATTATTCAGGAATAAAAGTGGCCTCTCCAAATAATACCTAATAAAGCGACGAATGACGCAGCCCAGAGCGGCGCGGGCGCGGGCGGCCGCGGTCGCCTATCAGACTGTACAAATAGTTGCAACCTTGAGATTCGGTACGAGCGGCAAGGTCACCGCGCAAATCGTTATCAGCGTGACGTCATCGCGTGACCTCCGAGGGACCTTGGCTGAGGTGCCCGCGCGATAACGCCACCAGCCACTGACGACCGATAGGCACGATCCGCTAAGCTTCCGCGTCGCGAGATGCCACGTGGCCTTTTCAAATTTCATAGACTGCTAATATGGACCAGTACTGGCTGGTGTAGACTGTACAGACTAGACTTGTATCGTGTGTCGAGTCTAATTAAATGTTTAACTAGAATTATTTGCGTAGAATAATCGTCAATCATCGTTCAACGTTTGAATAACTTGCTACATCTATTCAGCAAGACGAATTGAAATTTCATAAACACGGAAATATGTTTCATGACTACAATGCCACCTGTAAATAGTTTTATGACGCCAATTTACGCACTAATCGCTTATACTTTAACGGCGGCGTAGTTTAACTATGATGTGTGTGTACTTCTAAGTGTTTTAGATCTATTTTTTATTCTGAATCATTTTAATTTTAAGGAGAGAGCTTTTCGGAAGTATTTTTAATCAGATTCGAACTCACTCAATAGATACAGCAATCGCACATCGCGCTATCGTTGGGTTCTGGTCCCACCAGTGTCATAATATTTTAACTAAAGTATTTTTTAAACTATCTTTGTTCCTTTTCCGTCCCGCCCTTTTTAGTTCACTCTTCTTATAACA